CAGAACCTCAAGCTGTCTCCTGGGTTCAAGCAATTCTTCTGCCTTAGTCTCCCAAGTAGCTGGGACCACAGGCACCCGCCACAGCACTCGGCTATTTTTTGGTTGCAGCCATCATTGTTTGGCAGGCCCAGGCTGGATTCGAAACTGCCAGCTCAGGTGTACATGGCTGGTGCCTTAGCTGCTTGAGCCTGCAGTTTGGTTTTATACATTTTAGGGAGATAGGTGTTATTGATGAGGTCATAAATCAATATGTGGTTTGACCCAAAAAGGTGGGACATTTTGAAGAGGGTGGGTATAGGCTGGGTGTGGAGGGTGGGGAATGAGGGTGGGTAGGTGGTTTGACCCAAAAAGGTGGGACATTTTGGACTTGGAGCCTGTAGCATAGTGGTTATGGTGCTGGTCACATGCACTGAGGCTGATAGGTTTGAACCCAGCCTAGGCCAGCTGAACAACAATGACAACTGCAACAAAAAAATAGCCAGGTATTGTGGTGGGTGCTTGTAGTCCTAGCTACTTGGGAGGCTGAGGCAAGAGAATCACTTAAGCCTAAGAGTTTGAGGTTGCTGTGAGCTATGATGCCACCGCACTCTACTGAGGGCAACATAGTGGGACTGTGTTTCAAGAAAAAGTGGGAGATTTTGAAGGGGGTGGGTGGGTGTGGGTGGCAGGCGGGTGTGGGTTGGGTCGGGAGTCAGGATGGAGACTTACAGGTCATAGGTGGGTTTAGAGATTCTTTGGCTGACAATTGGTTGAAAGAGTTAGGCTTGACAGACCTAGAATCAGTGAAAAGGAACACTTGAGATAAAGGATCTGTTAATCAGAGATGAAGTTGGGACAGACTCAAGTGGTTTGTTGTGATATTGAGGACCTGGAGGTACGTCTTGCATAGCCTTAGGCCTGTGAATGAGCCATGGGACATTGCTAAGGAGGGGAAGAGGGGAAGTGTGATGAGGCCTGTCTGATCTCCTTTCTTATGGCTAGTGACTCAGTTTTAGGGATCCCCTTGGCCAGGACAGGGGTCCAGTCAGATTTTATTTTAGTTCACATGTGCACTTGCCAGGTCCCCTGGGGGAGAGGCTGTGGCAGTGGTGGGGTGCTGAGTGCCCTGGGGTGAGAAGTCTGAGTCCTCTCATGGGAGGTGCTGAGTCCCTTGGGGTGGGGGATGTGTGAGATTCCTTTAGATGTTAACCTGGGGGCGGGAGTTGGGTCTCCTTTTCATGGTAGCTGTGTTGGCTGACCCATTCCCTCTGACCTTGTCCATGTGGGCCAAAATGACCCTTGTGCTGAATTCTGCTCTGGTGGGGGGTGCTGGCCGACTCACCTACTGCCCTGGTCCACCCTCCTGGTTGGGGCTGTGCACTGTGCCCACCAACTTCTGGTGCTTTAGCAAGCACAGGGAGGTGATTCATTTCTTGGAGGTCCTTCCCTGGCGGGGGCTGGGTACACCATCCCAGGTGATTCAGGTGTCTGAGTGCCGGGCTGGGTGGAGATAGCCACAGAGCATTGACCTCTCCACATTGGAGTGAGGGTTACCTGCTGTTATTTATTTATTAGTTATTTGAGGCAGAGTCTCAGTCTGTCACTTTGGGTAGAGTGCTGTGTCATCATAGCTCACAGTAGCCTCAAACTCTTGGGCTAAAGTGATCCTTCTACCTCAGCACCCACCACAAC